CAACCTTTCCTCTTCACCAGCTTTTTTTTAGTTCCGGCCTAACGAGGTAAAGGAGTAGGTGATAATACACATTGTAAAAAAAACAACACTGAACTGAATATCAGATAAATGAAGGGAAATAATACAGAATTTATGATTGCATAGATTCAACAGCAGGTCAGAGTAACAATAGTGGTTGGACGTTTCTTTTGCACGCAGAGTTCCGAGTGTTTGATGCGAATTGCAGCGTTCCCTGATATTTGGATTATTCAATACAGTAATGTTAATAATAAGGATAGTAATAGTAGTTCTTTAATGATTATGGATGAAATTGGTCTTTATTACATTGGAAAAAATATTGACTAATTATTTTACGATTAATTTGTGGTTATACTTAAATTAATAATACTTCATGATACGAATCCCGCACACTTTTATTTATTTATTTATTTTTCAGCAAAAAATAAGAAGCCAGAAACTCAAGCGAGTAATATTCCTAGGGGTACAGCTTATGCCAAACAACATACCAATAAACCAACAATAAACAAATCGAAGTAATTTGTTTGTTTGTTTTAAATCTACTTTTGAATAAACAAAAAAAAAAGATTATTTAATAAACAGAAATATTTATCTTTGTTTAAGTTCATTTTGTTTTTTCCCGTTGATTGATTGGACCGACTGAAATGTTGGAAGGGACATTTTGATAGGCATATTCACCGGCATCCAACAATTGCCATATTTCTTGACCTAAAGGCGGAATTCGATTCGGTCGACTGAGAGGTAGTGTGACAATGAGGGAAGTGTCAAGAAAATGCATCGCATTGATCAAGGCACTCTACTCGAACTCATGCAGTCAGCCAGGTGAGAGTCTACGGAGAGTTCTCATCTGAAGTGATGACAACCAGTGGTGTCCGTCAGGGATCCCCACTGTCCCCATTTCTGTTTAATTTCATCATAGATATACTGATTGACTTAACCCTAACTGACTTCAGCGATTAAAGGATTGACTTGTTGCCAGGGAATAATCTTGTTGGCTTAGAATATGCAGATGATACAGTCCTTCTAGGTGAAGAAGTGGAAAAATTGCAGAGTCCTCTGCACACCTTGAGCTGAGCAGAAATCTGCGAATGTTTGGCATGCAATTTGCTCCGGATGTCAGAGGTAAGATGATGCCACAGGACTCGAATACGTCGACACCCAGCTCAAAGATAGGCAGGAGTGAAGTGGTAGAGCGTGTTGACCACTTCACTTATTTGGGTAATTGCATCAGCCCCAACGGTCTGACTGCTGAAGAAATTCCATCACAGATACAAAAGGCTCGTGTGGCATTCTCTTACCTACGTCATCTCTAGCGCAGGCGTGATATCCGGTTGGCTATCGATCAAAGGACGTGTATAATGTTCAGCAGTTCTCTCTGTCCTCCTTTATGGCTGTGAGACATGACCATTGAAAGTGGAAGATATTGAAAGGCTAGATGTCTTTGATCCTAGGTGTCTGCGTTCTATCTCCCATGTTAGGTGATATAATGGGCTGAGTAATATTGAGGCTAGGTGTCGAGTGTTAGGGAAGTAGAGAAAATCTATTGACGTTGTGAAGTTACACCACCTTCTTCGACGAATAATGTTAGCTGCCATATGTTTAAGTTGAAGAAGAGCTAGTGATGGTCAAACCCAAACATAGCATCTTTAACCATTAGTTTGAGCCACGTAGGGAGGTGCGGACTGCTTCGGTGGGGTACCAAAGATGCTAAGAACCAATGGCTGGAGACAACTGATCGTAGAGCTCAAAGTCTTTCTAAGTGGCACAGATGCATTCACTTTCTGTGATCTGGATTTGTAGCTCATGTGGATGATATTGAATTAGTTGTGTTCTCTGAGCTGGTTGATTTAATTGCAAAGATTTCTTCGTCCCGCTTCTAGACAACATCTTCAGCGCAGGTTTGAGTATAAAATGGACTTATTTAAATTCTCCATGAATGATGTAATTGTATCTCCTGACGACCACTGTCGTGACTGGATGTTAATTTACGTCTCTATTGATCATTTTTATTGATTTGGAATTCGAACTTTCTTGGTATATGATTTACTTGTTATCATCTGGTAAATTTATCACCCAAACCACTTGAGTGGCTTGTGAGCATGCTACCATTGGGTCACCGACGTATAAAATGTTAAGTGGCTGGAGGAGGCAATTAGCAGGATGTCCCAGACATAAGTTTCGTGCTTGTCGGCAACTTTGAAGAGATTAATGTCCCATCTGAGGCTCCAAAACTGTGTTACCCTCTGTTTCTATCATAGACGTTACAACTGGACCATTAGGGCACTCTTCATTTCACCTACAGACACACGTGTTAATTTACTTTTTGGAAATACTCCCCTATCTCAAAGTAATTTAAAACGCTGGTTAACCATAGTCAGTAGGTATGTAGCGTCTAAAGAATAGTTCCCTGAGTTTTCTTAAAAATACCTATCGGTGTATATCTTTTCATTTGCTCTTATCTGCAGATATTGCCAGCTTACTTCATGATTACAGTTAGTGATTTTATCGAAATTAACATTCTCGTATAATCTGATGTAAATTACTTCCAACAATCTACATGTACAATAACATGAAAAATTTGATTTCCTGAACTTCAATTAATTTTATAATTTGAATGTATCAAATGAGGAAATAGGCACTGTAAAATGTTCAAATAAACGTCTACTTTAAGAACTAATATGTAAATTACATTTGAAAAGATTCTCAATTACCTTATTTACAGACTATATGGATGTAGTGTATATACTATGAAGCGTGAACATTAGCCAAGCTAACGAAATGTATTCAAGAGTATACTTTAAACAGACTTCTGCAACGACATATCATAGACAATATCAGAGTGCAGAACAGGCTTAACAGTGAATTTATAGAACTCTTAAACAAGTCTTTACAGCTAGGAACCCTATTAAATGCACTTTTATATATTCAATCTATTTTTTAAATTCCTTTGCGTTCGCAGTGGAACATAGGATTTCAAGCTTTAGCTTTGAAGTTTCGGTAGTATTGGCGTTTTTACGGAGTAGGGTTGCTAGCCTCACGCTCAGTCTTCCCTCTTTGTAGCAATTGTAACCGGTTAAGGGAGGTAAAGGCGTGCGCCGGCTGGAACTCGAACCCCGGACCACGTGCATAGTCGGCTAGTGCCTGACCACTGAACCACCGACGCTTATTCAATCAATATGAAACCATAAAATAAATACACTAAATCTATAGAGTCTAGCTTTGTTTGCTACAGGAGAATATCGGAATACACATCTCAGCTTCTTATTTCAGAAACAAACCACAATAATAATGGAGTGCTCTTTCCCTTTTTATTTCCCACAAAAAGAAGAGATCACACAGGTTACAAAAATGCCAATAATCAAAGTGACTCTTTACAGTGATGTCTACATAGTGTTGTCTAGTCCATTGTATTGAACAGATTTTACCGATTAAAACTTCACTGTGAGACTCGATGTCTCAGTGCGTTCTTTTTCGATGTCAAACTGTTAGGAGTATTCAGTATCAGGCTTTTGATAGTGGTTTTATGTTAATTGTCACTTGTCAGTACGGTAGATTTGATTGAGACCTTCAGTAGAAGCATCTCTAGTTGAAGCGCAGAGTGAAGCCTCATGTCAGTCTTAAAATAAAACTTTGTACTTAAATGGAGCAAAGTAAGTACCATATTTAGAGATACTGGCCGCCAACTAACCAAGTACGATTTGGATAGCTTGTATGTTATAGCACAATAAGACGATGTTGCTTGCATACCTAAGGTTCAAAAGTCTTTCTCCACACATCAAATCTACATCACCAACACACATACCCTTTAGAGCTGTTTGTAGAATGCCATTGACAGGAAAGTTAAAAAGAAACTGTGACACTGGATGACCCCTTCTAATCCCACTCTTGGATAGCAGTTGCACACTAACCATTTCTGTGAAGTCTAACTTTACTACTCAGCTACTTTTGACATAGCAGTTGAAGAGTTTTGAAACCATTCGTAAGGTTCATCGGTGTCAGATTGAAACACCAAATCAAAATTCAAAATAAACATATAGACATATAAAGATCAACTATAGCAATTGGATGGTATAACCACATTGACTCAAACTCTATCTCATCGGTTAGATGTATTTGTGTCTGAGCCAAAGCACTGCATAGCTATATTAATCCATGGATGACGACCAAACTTACAAATCAAATCAGTTGTGCTACATATAGAAACTCGTCATTAACACACTTTATAACTATTCATCCTTAAGTAAACTTTACCTTTTTCAACCCATACCTGGACTTTCATTCGCAACACGATAAAGGAAAACGTCAAACTGTTTCTTATATTAAGAAATCAAGTAATGTATTCAACTGTACAATAAATTCATTACACCATACAAGTTTGGTAGGAGAATTATCAGGTAAAATGGTGTTACTGACCAATAAATCAGTGAAACTATTGGAATGAATAAAAACACGTTTAACATGGTACAATCTAATAGCATCATATTCATTAATCAGCAATGTTTTAAAGGAGTCTATTGAATTCAAGATATTTTGAATAGTCATAATTTTAGGAAGTTGATTACTTGACACCAATTGATGATTCATAAGGTTCTCAACCAATGAATTTATAATGGATAACAAATTATTTGTCGAAACATTAAATGTATCTATCGCATCGAATGATTTCTCTTGATATTTACCAATTGCTAACTTTCTTGAAGTGTCTAATCGTGTTTCAATGAGTTCATTCAGTATTGGTAGTGAAAAACAAGGCTGTACATTTGCCAACCGATTGTCTTCTTTATGACTCTCTTCTAACCTTTTGCAAGATTTGATGACAGAATTTCGTGTAGTTTCCCATTTCTGAATAGCATCAGATATCTTTTGTAAACAGTCAGAATATTCAAAGTGCTTGCTTGAAATACCTGCAGTAGAAATAATATAAACAAAATTAGTACAACAAAAGCATAAGATTAAGTAAGTGAATAATTTAATTTCTATGCTACACTTCAGGTATTCTTCTTCCTTGAACAACCATTTGCTACCACTGAAAGTGAATATACACTGCATACATTCAAAATAGCGTCGGTGGCACAACAGTAGAATGTTCGCCATCCACGTTTGTGGTCCGGAGTTCGATCCCCGGCAGACCCACTCCTTTATCTCGTAAAGCCAGTAATAAGATTGGTAAAGGGGAGAAGTTGGGCATCAGGCTAGTAACCCCATCCTGTAAAAAATAAACACCATTGCTACTGATAATTCAAAGCTCTAGCCTGAAGCCCTATGTTACACTGCGAACGTAGGGGAATAAAAAAGCATTCAAAATAGCTGACTGACTGAGTTTTAACAGAGAACCTTGCGCAGAATTCCAGTAGTTGAAGTTGCCACACTGTACAGCACACAAAGGTAGAGAAAAGAAAGAAAAGATATTCAAAAGAAAAACAATGAGCAGAAATGTGTGGAAGAAAGAACAGTGAAACGAAAAATATATGAGTATTTAACGGATCCAAGAGATTACAAAGATTGAATGCATCTGCACCACTGAGAAAGATTTTGATCCATATCACCAAGTCTCCAGACATTGCTTCCTAGCGTACCAAAGACCCCAGCCATGCAACCTATATATATATATATATATATATATAAAGCACTACCCTTATAATATATCTCTACTTCGGGCAGTTCAGAAGCTGAAGGCATGCACCTAAGCATTTGATATTTCTTCTCAATATACATTAATGATTAGATTATTCACTTCCCTTCATATTTTTATTTAAGGATTAAACACAGACATAACTAATACACCACACAGTCATCATTATAATAACAACAGCTGAGGAATGTTTGTGCCTAACAAATACCTTGTCAAGTTCTGTGTTGCGTGGCTCTATTCTAAGTTTTTGAAAAATATGAAGTTAACCAAAGTAACTGCTAAGTCAAATCATTGTCGATATCTTCTTGGCTAATGTAAGAGAATATTAGTGTCACAAAATCACCATGCTGACAGTATACTCAGTTTCAAACAGAGTGAAAGTTATTACACAGACACACAAAGTGTAGCAGTAAACTAAGTATATGTTGGATTGCTAGTGTTAGTGAGGGTTTTACCAACTCAATTCATTGAGCTGTTTGAAGAAGCATCCGAAATATAGAATGCAGTATACATTGTTAGGGTAAGCGACTTAAATATAGCCACATTTATGAACATCAGAATAATATGTGACGTGTTTGGTGAAACAGTTGAAACACCATATAAACGTCCCCAACTGGAAAGAGTCTCCAAGACAAAACGGGTAATTAAGTCATTAACGATGACTAAACCTTTCTATGATTTATAGGCAGCAAGATTTAGAAAACCCACGATCTTAACATTAACACTTCTTAGTACAAACGATGGGTAAAATGCTCTGTTCGCTTTCTCCTGTCTTATAAGCCGAAAGTACACTAAAACACACCACGAACTCACGAAACCCAAAAAATAATCAGCCTACTTTACGTATAGAAAATCCAGATACAGACAGTAATAACTCTGAAAATTCCATGACAGGAAATTGTCGTCATCTACAACTATTAAAAACGACGATCATTAGAGAAGGCTGACAGAAGTAATTCTTTATTTTACAAGTGCGACTCAATTGAAATTAGGGGGAAAACTAGGTTAACGGTTATATTCTAGCATTCGGACTTCACATGCATCTCCACAAGCCTCGAAAGAACGACTAAGAAAGTCAGTTGCAGATATTCTTAAATTCGAGAATTCCACTCAAGTAAAAAAAGACAAATTCATGAAACAAAGTGGATTTCCAGTAAGTTCCGCCCAAGCCTTTCAAAGGAGAGTATTGACATGAATAAGTTCGCGGACGTGAGTTAGAGTATATATTCTACCTTTGCCGAAATGAAATACTCTTAGAGTCCGAAAGTTAGTTTCTCAGGCTAGAATTAGGGTTTCAGGATATATTTATTATATGTACTGTAGACCTGCTGTAATTTCCAAAATAGGTTTACACAGCTTGGAAAGTTTCAGTAAAAACGTCTTTATATACCAAAACCATCTCTGCTTATAGGTGCGATTTAATGTTTACAAGTTCTTTCCAATGTGAATAACTTCCGTTCCGTGTTTTATTACGTACATGACTTTAGAAATCATCAAAAACTCAAATGCAGCCACTACCTGACCTTGAGTGTGCATTCTTTTTTAAAAGCGTCGTGACCTAAATGGTCCAATACCCAATATCGTATTTACGAGCTAGTATAAACCAGTTTTTTAGGATTAATTATATGTGGTTTGTAGTGAAGATTAAGGAACGTAAATAATTCATGCCTTTATTTCCATGAACCGGCTTGAATTTGACCACATTTTACAACGAATTATGGCAAGAGTGAATAATATCGATTGAAGTAATATGAACGCAAGAGTGACTTTGAGTCCATGAAACTTAGGACAGCAGTGTTTTCTGCTAAAAAATAATAATTTAGCACATTTAAATTGATGTATCTTCCATGCATGACTTCAAAATAATAGTCAGTTGTGATGTGGTGGGTCAGAAATGAAGTTAAACCAATTTCGGTACAAATACTAATCAAGGTGGCTGAAAGTGGCTGCTGTTTTGTAAACGCTATTGGCATGTATTCCATCTTTGAGCTCCCTTCAAAATCACTCAGTGGAATTCCACTAACGTGGTGGGCTAAATCGGATGCATGGTTCAGTATGTGGTGAATATAACCAAAGACTGAAAAGTCAATTTAGCTGGCCGATTCATTGGTGTGAATCGAACTACCAGGAATAATGGGTTAAGGCGTACCAGCAGTACAACTGAAATTAGTCTAGCAAGTCTTTTTCTGATTTTAGCATAACTTGGACCTAAAAGTTTATGACCGTTCTACTTCTTGTTTAAAACCAATTAGCATATAAGGATAATGACTTCAACTCACCCTAAAGACTATTCATTTTTTATATGTGCCCAACGCCAATTTCGATGTGACCGTTGGTACACTTGGTAATGGTGCCACCGAATTTTTTACCTAGCCGATTCGCCAGCCTACTGTTAAAAACAATTTAGCAACAACACGGTACGATACCACCGAGAACGCGACGCACGTAGATGAGAAGAGAAGTCTGACTGTTGGCATGGAGAGGTTTTACTGTCTTGAATCGACAGTGAAAATGACTGAATAAGCCAGCGTATGTACGTGCTTTAAATGGCCCTAAGAGACACCATTTACGTTGATAAATCAAAGCAGTCAACAGCCAGTAGGATTTCAAAGGTCATAAGTGGGTGAGAGGAAATCATTTCCGTAAATCAGTATATAAGGTAAGAGGAATATAAACAGACATGTGAAACGGACATGTAGAAAGTTAGTTCTACATATCAATTTTCGAAGAAGCCACAACTCCACAGAGTTGAGAAACGAAGGATTCTCCGTTTGTACAGTGGTAGCTCTCAATTCAGTATAAGTTGTGGTTGTGTGATCCAGTCTATTTCTGCCAACGGTATATTATGCTCACATATTCCCACAGTTCAATATTGCATATAATATACCTATATGAATATTCTATTTGATGTTAGAGGCAGAATACATTTCACACGGTTATATACTGCAATAACAACAGAATTCGATGTATATTTGGACATTCTATTTCATGTTGTTTGATGTAAACCGAAATCACACGCTGAGTAACTGGTTAATAAATATAAACTGTGGATATATAAACAGCACCTTGATTCATGTAAATATACCTTGGATCCCGCGTCTTGCCTTCTGTTGTTACAAAGTGACTGATAATAGCATATAATAAGCATATTAGTAAGCGATAGTTAGGGATGCATCACTACCCCGTGAGAACTAACAAAAGACTATTTCTTTCAGTTAAAAGAACATCTTTGCGCTAAGGGAGTTCACAGTTAGATTTCATGAATCTGAAAAAGACAACAAACGTAAAGCAGGAGGCTAGCTGAATGGCTGACTTAATGGTTTGTGGACAGCTGACGTTGATAGTTATCATTTCAGAGAATAAGTCAAGGGAAGTATAGACAAGGTGATGTTTTTACCACTTCGCAGCGAATTAAAATGTGAACAACCTTTCTACTTGTATTGAATTAAGTATCAGTAGAAAGTTATCAGATCGGTGAAATTTTAGCAAAAGAGGTGTGGGAATAATGCTTAAAAGATAAGACAGGGTTTAAAGACATGAATATAATAGTAATAGTATATTTTCATTTTTGTACATGAGGGACGCCAGTTTACAGGCATCATCAATTCGATAAATTACACATACGATTAGTAAGTATAGTTAATAATGATAATATAATAAGCTACATATTTATTCCTACAAACGTAGGACACGAAAGTTATACAGGTATGGATAAGAATTATTTAAGTTACATATTTAAATTATGTGACTTACAGTTAAATAACATGGTTGCTGTCATTTTCTCCTTAGTTTGTGGGAAAAATCTGATAACTAGTGATTCTAAACAAAGCAACAACTACAGATTTAGCAGAATAAAATGGTACCATATTTTATTTCGTCGCCTTCTCTTCAGCTGCTTACAGGGCAAAAACATTATTAAATGTATCTACAATAGCAATTTAACATACTCACACAGAGTTCATTTTAAACAGAAATCAATCGATCAATATACACGTACACTAATAATATATACATATATATATATGCAATACTGAACACAATTCCGAGCAATAATAATCATACAAAATGAAATCTTTTCAGTATCTCGCATTAGGATGAAAATATCCAGTTACCAGGGCAAAGAGAGACTGATAACTGCTTCTTTCTGAACGCACAAATCAGGTTTTAGGCGCTTGATGGAAAAGGCTGCAGCAAACTTAAGGAGCATTGAACTCTTTTGCTTATTGATAATTTTGAATGACTTTTCCACGTCCACCTCATGACTCGTGTCAAGAAGATGCCCGGCGATGGCACTGCCTAAAGCATCAACTCTCGTCAACATAAGGCTTGCGGAGAAGTTGGAACCCATTCGCCGACGTCTAGCCGTGCATACCATAAAAGACTCATTTCATTTCGCCGAAAGCGTGAATCATATGAACGTTTCAAATAAGTTCATGGTCTCATTTGATGCAACCTCCTTGTTCACAATGATCCCAATCAATGGAACCATTGAAATCATTTGTCAACAGTCTTATCTGCTTCCACTACCAGAGTCAGAATTCAAACGCCTACTGCTAATGTGTACAATTGATGTACAATTCCAGTTTGATAACACTCTTTACCGACAAATAGATGGTGTAGCTATGGGCAGTCCGCTTAGCCCTGTTTTAGCAGATATCTTCATGTCAAATCTTGAGAAAACAAATTTGAAGCATGCAATCGATGAAACAACTTCCTACTGTCGTTACGTTAATGACACATTTGTAGTGTGCAAAAATGACAGTCATGCTTCACACCTACTAAGATTATTCAATGATGCACACGCCAATATCAAGTTCACTGTGGAACATGAAAGTGACGGGAAGTTCCACTTCCTCGACATCGCCATGGAACGCCTAGAAGACGGTAGTCTTCAAAAGTCAATTTATCGTAAGTCCACATGGAAAGGACAATACTTAAATTTTAATAGCTTTTGTCCAAATAGCTATAAACGAGCACTGGTCAAGACTCTGTACTATAGAGCGAGGAGAACATGCTTTACAGAGAAACTAGAGGAAGAATTTGAGTTTCTTGAAAAGACTTTGAAGAGCAATGGGTACCCTCAAAGGTTCACCAACAAGTATGGAAGATCTGCAGTCGCAAATGAAAAACAAATCACAGTGGGAAAAAAGCCAATCTACTTTGAGCTTGATTATAAAGGCGAAAACATTGCAGCGATGATCAACAGAAGGCTGAGTACATCACTAGCCATAGCCTATCCTGCAGCTAAGGTCGTTCCCGTCTTTAGAACAACTTGCTCTCTGGTGCAATCAAAAATCGATAGATATCCTCCTCATGTTAACTCCAACTGTATTTACAAATTTACTTGTATCTGTGGGAGCAGTTACATTGGAAGAACAGAAAGAAGGGCATATCTACGATTTTCTGAACATGTACCAAAAAGCTTACGTCTAAAGGGAACAAATTCTTTAAACAGTGCCACCACCAGGTATCTCCTCAACACGAGTCATGAGCTCAATTCTCCTTAAGTTTGCTGAAGCCATTTCCATCAAGCGCCTAAAACCTGACTTATGCGTCCAGAAAGAAGCGGTTATTAGTCTTTCTTTGCCCTGGTAACTGGATATTTTTCATCCGAATGCGAGATGTTGAAAAGTTTTCATTGTGTATGATTATTATTGCTCGGAATTGTGTTCAGTATTGCATATATATATGTATATATTATTAGTTTATGTGTATATTGATCGATTGATTTCTGTTTAAAATGAACTCTGTGTGAGTATGTTAAATTGCTATTGTAGATACATTTAATAATGTTTTTGCCCTGTAAGCAGCTGAAGAGAAGGCGACGAAATAAAATATGGTACCATTTTATTCTGCTAAATCTGTAGTTGTTGCTTTGTTTAAATTCATTAAGGGGAACAAATGTATGAAACTATTGATTCAATGGAACACATCAAGAAATATAGAGATATTGACTTTGCATTAACAAAAAAACCCAAGTATTCGTTGGATGGATTGCAGATACTTGGGAAAATAAATAAAGCTTGAAGTTAATTCCCTCATAAAACAATAAAATGCGTCTTACTATAATATATTGTAACTTTATGCACATGAGGGACTCCAGTTGACAGGCATCATCAATATGATAATAATGCACACATGGAGTAAACATGTTTAAAATCTTTCATTATCACAAGATATATATACAAGGGAAGATAATGGAATATTGACCGTAAGCACATTCTGCATAAGTTAAAACAGTTTATATGGCGTAATCCTAGGCACCATTATTGTTTGAATTTGTTGAAAATGAGCGAAACAACTGAGTGTTGCGTTACATTTGGTCGATATGGTGGGCTACTCACAAAAGTATAAAGATGACTTAAAAAACGTTAGTTAGTTTACCGTAAACGATTTTTAAGCAATGTAATCTGCAGAAGGGTCACCACAGCAGTCATTGTCCAGTTAAACATGCAGAGAAGTTTTAGTAATTCAGCAACCGGTGAATGTTTGATTCTTTTCGGTCTGGAACCAGATTACCTGCAACCAATCCATACAAAATGTCAAAAGAGGCA